CACACACACACACAGTGGCAACATAGAGCACAATAATATATATATAATATATATATATTTAATATGTATTGTAAATATGTCAGATTTTTGTAAAGTTTGTAATATGACATCAAAGTATAGACATTGCAAAATGCAATATACATTCAAATAAAGATAAGTGTAATGGAAAAACAAATCTATAAGAAATAATGTATTTGCCATAAATTAAGTTTATGATATTTGAAAAAAATGGGTGATCATGCCCCAGTCAGTGAAAGTGTGTTTCCTACCCATAGACTCCAGAGGGTTAACCCCCTATTTATAATATCCCTAACCATAAACGACATTAACCACATTTTCTCCTAATCTTACCTCTTGGTCATTGAACTTCCCTACTTTCCTATTATTTGGCCTCACTTACCTTCTGGTTATCTCACACTTTGCAGGATTAAAAGATTTTCATACAGTACATACTTAATTTCAGTAAGGCGGTAAAAGCATGGGATTTTATGGCTTGGTTTGCAATCAGTATCACCACCGTCAGGTACCTAATAAAGTGGCTAGTGAGTGTACATACTCTATGTTTAATTTATGTTTCCTTTATATCAGTAAGACTCATCAGTCAAAGTGCCTCTTAGTCACAGCTACTGAATCTTTCAAAAAGCTGGAGGCTGAAAAAAGCAATAAGGTGATGAGCGCATTTCAAACAGCAAAATCAGGAAATTCAGGGCCAAGGTGAGCTATGCCCCTGCAGGCTATACTACTTAAAGAACAATGTTATAGAGTTACTTAATACAGATGAAAGACAGTGGCTCAGGATTACTTTACAAATCCTTGTTCCCAAAGCATGAGATTGTGTCCTATAGTATAAACAGGCCTCATTCTGGTAGTTATTTCCCAAGGTCACTGGCTATAGGACTTCACACTAAAGTACTGTTCAGTCTCACAGTCCTTGTTTTCAATGCTCAAACTACAAACTACACTTGACATTCTGATCTCCCGGTCTGACAAGTTTTTTCATGATTGCCATTATAGATCTGCAGTACATGACTTTCAATAAAGCCCCGTCCATCTTATTTGATGACAGTGTGGTCGCGTGTTTAAATCTTCCTATAGCGTGCGGCTGCTTTGTCACTACAAGCTTTCCACTGTTACCAAATAAGGCCTGCAGCTCCTCCTACCTGCCCCAAGCCGCTAAAGGTTTAGGAGGAATACCTATGGGTTGACAGCCCTGGGGCCTCTCCTCCGTCATGGATTTCAGTCCAGCCATATTGCCTGTACTGCTCAGCTGAGTTGGAAGACCATTTACTGATGTTCCAAATTACACATTCTTCAACTTCCGTCACCACAGTTAAAGGTTGCGTGACAGCTACAGAAGTAAAATAAAAAAATAAATAAAAATGTGGGCGGGGTCCCAGGAATTATGCATGGTGGTCCAGCCAGTGATATTCACAATATATTTTCATTATAACCATGCTGACATACAAATTCGGTTATTATGATAACTTATAATAATGCATCAGAAAAAAAAATCTACATCTAAATCCCTGAATAAATTGTCACTGAATGCTGTTGTTTTCATTTTGCAAATCTGGCCATTAGTGATCTGTATGGTTTTACTGTGAAGTAAGAAATTTGGAGAGATTTGGAAGACCTGGGAACCCATTCAGTCACCCATCCTACAAATGCTAATTTGGATGGGGGGTGGGGCTTGGGTGGTTTCTCTCTGAGCAAAGGGCTTGGCAACTTGTCCAGACTCTTCTCGAACTTGCCATTTAATTTTTTCCTTTATATTTTATATGACCTCCATGTGTGACATTGTTAAAGGCAGATTGATGCTCCACCAGATACAGTCAGCAGGGGGCATTACTCCATCTGTGACATTGTTAAAGGCAGACTGATGCTCCATCAGATACAGTCAGCAGGGGGCATTACTCCATCTCTGACATTGTTAAAGGCAGACTGATGCTCCATCAGATACAGTCAGCAGGGGGCATTACTCCATCTGTGACATTGTTAAAGGCAGACTGATGCTCTGCCAGATACAGTCAGCAGGGGGCATTACTCCATCTGTGACATTGTTAAAGGCAGACTGATGCTCCGCCAGATACAGTCAGCAGGGGGCATTACTCCATCTGTGACATTGTTAAAGGCAGACTGATGCTCCGCCAGATACAGTCAGCAGGGGGCTTTACTCCATCTGTGACATTGTTAAAGGCAGACTTATGCTCCGCCAGATAGGGTCAGCAGGGGCATTACTCCATGCACCATGAGAAGATGGAGGGAATACCAGTTTACCTGCTATGTGAGTTTGACATTTTTACATGCAGGTTTTACTAGAAGAAGTGAATTACCCTTTTTTCAGTTCCGCATTCATGAGAGCAAGTACATCATTCCTTTGTGCCACATCTGACTGAAGGAAAACTGAACTGATATTTAGAGAATTACTCTAAACAATGGACAGATTAACCACTTGTAAAACATTTAGATTTTTAATATAAACATGTTCATAGGTGTATGAAACAATCACTGGGCTGAAACACAGAAACAGGTGTTATGGCAACAAAGGGTGAGGTTTATTTAACAAAACTGGAGCAAGGAAACAAAACTAGACCATGAGGGTCAAAATTGAGATGATGGGAAATCAGGAGAAGATCAGGCAAGATCTGGCAGGACATCAGGAGACGACGAAGTGGGAGCCAGAAGGACCTCAAGAGATGATGAGACGGGAGCCGGTGGGACCTCAGGAGATGACAGGGCAAGGCTGAGACACCTGGATGGAAGTGGGGCAAAGCCAAAACACCTGCAGGTGAGTGAAGCAAGGCCAGGGCACCTGAAAGCAATTGGGGCACAGCCGGGACCCCTGGAGGTGAACAGGGCACCAAGGTCCTCCATTAGGCTGGGGATTAGGGACTCTGGCAGAGTGCCCCTCTCTCGTCCAGAAGCCTGGCGTGTGGGCTGAGCGACCCACTCTCGGCTAGGAGCCTGGAGTGTGGTCTCTTGGGGTGTGGCAAGGGTGAAGATGGGCCCTGGAGGTGTGGCAGAGATGAACATGTGCTCTGTGGGTGTGGGAAGAGCAGTAGCCTCTTCTGGGCTGGGCTCTGAAGATTCGAGAGAAACGGGTGTGGCCCCTCTTGGGCCAGACTATAAAACATCAGAGGGAGTAGCAGCCCCTACTAGGCCAGGCTCTGAAGATGTGGTGGCAGCCTCTCCTGGGCCTCATCCTGTAGGGGCGGAGGCAATCTCTCTTGGACAAGGTGCTAGAGGCGGGTTGGTGACCTCTCCTGGACTGGGTGCTGGAGGCAGAATGGCTACCTCTCCTGGTCCTGGGGCTAGAGGCACGGTGGCAACCTCTCCAGGACAGGACACTGGAAGCATTGAGTCAGGCAGGGCAGCAGCCACAGGAACTGCTAGCTTCCTCCACCTTTTCTTTCTGCAACCGGAAATGGCAGGAGGGGTTGCAGCAAGCTGCATGAAGCCAGCAGGCACCTCCACGATGAGCTGCAGCAGGCCAGCATGACACCTCCACGGCAGTCTGTAGGAAGCCAGCAGAAACCTTGACAGCAGGCTGTGGGAAGCCAGTGGACACATCAAGATACATGCTCTCAATCACTCCTGGACCTTCTCAGCTACCTGGTGATCCATGTCCTGGGGGAGCTTCTATAACCTGCCCACAGACTAGAAGAGAGCTATTGCTTCAAGGATCCTATAGAAAGTAGGATCACTCCTCCTCTCCTGATGAGCTTGCAGGAGGGAGATAAGTCCTCTGCCTGAAGGTAGGCTTGTCTGTGTGGCACAGTAACCCCTTAAGTCCCAGGATCTGATGCACCCAGGGTATTCAATCTGCTGGGTGCAGGGAGGAATGGAAGCTGGAGATGCCACGCTAAGGAGCAAACAGGAAGGACAGATGCACAGAGTGTGACACTGTCATCAATACATCAAATATCTCAGTGTTCTGGTGAGGATTTTTTAATCAAAATGAGTGCAGAAAGAGAAAGGTGCTTTAAATTATCTATATTTATTAAAATAAATTCAACAGAACTGAATAGATCTGATGCCAGATACTTATCGCAATGCCGTTTTTGTTGGGCTTGGTAACAGAAGTGGACCAGACTGGATGAGTAGCTTGTATACAACTTGCATTGCTGCCATTTCCCATACAGCCTCTGTAAAACTGACATGACAGTATCTTCCGGCATGAGAGAACAAATGCTGATAGTGTCTCCTGTGCACCTGCCCAACCTTTGGGTTCCTCTTTCTCCCTCACATTTTACATCTTACAGCTCTGGTAAGGAGAGGTACTCCTCAGTATTCCAAGGGTAAGTCTTCAACACAGTGCACAGGAAACAGAGGAAAATAAGTGACAATGAATAGGGAAACACTAATAAGATTTTTCTGATAAAAACTTTTTAAAATCAGCCAAAATCACTGTTAACAAATATTACATGGATTAAGTCCATGGGAAACTACATCAGCATATTGTTGTGTGCGCAAGTCCAGTTGTGGGACAAAGCATTTCAGCTAGCAGCCCGGTCAGAGGTTGAACACCACACAGCAAAGTTATTTTACCATTAGAACGGAGACACACACCTTGGAGAAGCTTAATACAACTACACAATTAACTAGGCAACAGATATTTTATGTTGCAAATTACAGGGAACAGGGAAATTGAGTAACAGGGAAATTAGTTACAGTGTGGGAGGGCATTGACGTGCTGTTAAACTCCAGTAGGTGAAAGTAGTAACCAGGAAATATTCAGAAGACACGGCAGGCGGACATTTCAGGTGTCGGTGAGTAAACCTTCACATATGATAATAAAACTATGGTAAAAGCAAGATGTTCAAACCATTTAAATGTAGAGAGGAAAGAGAAGCCATCTCATTCACAAAGCTTATGGTATGTGCTTTTACATGCCTTATATCCTTATCTGATTGTGTGGTTATATTCAGCGTGACCAATATTTCTGTAACAGCTATCAGTATTTATGTAAGTAGCAATTCTTCCTAATGACATGAAAATGTGTTTACAAGAATAAATTATATGTGGTGAATATTACAGTTATATCACAAAAAATTATAATGTAATTGATTTCAATTCACTAGGAACTGTTGTGGTTCAAGGCTTGGTTGGAGCTCTTATATACCCTTAGTAAACGTGCTGACTTTGAACTGACCCAGTAAAGGATGTAGCTATATGATTAGTTTGAACTGTGAGTAAACACTGTGTACTTTCATCAAAATATAATATTAATGACACAAGGTTTTACTCTGAAGACTTAATGAACGGAAATGCTGTAAGTTAAAAACTTCTATTTATATCAAAGTTTAATTTCTGCCTGTCTGATATCCCCTTTAGGCTTACTGTTTTCCACCCGCACTCATTAGCTGTTAGCAACATGAATCAGAGTAATGAGTTGGGATCGTGCCCCAATGTGGTGATGCTATTGAAACGATACTACCTGCCGTCCATGTATGTAATCATCTTTACTGTGGGCCTCCTGGGGAATGTCACCTCCATCATCATCTACACAGTGAAGATACGACCATGGAAGAGCTGGAACCTCATCATGCTGAACCTGGCCTTGGCAGACCTGCTCTACGTCTTCAGCCTCCCTTTCCTGGCTTATTACTACATTATCGATGAAGACTGGACCTTGGGGACATTCATGTGCCGATTTGTACGCTTTAGCTTCCACTTCAACCTCTATGGCAGCATCCTCTTCCTCACTTGCCTCAGCATCTTCCGCTATGTGGTGGTGGTCTACCCACTGAAGGTCGACATTCACCGGAAGAGGTGGGGGAGCTTGGCCTGCCTTATCGTATGGGTCATCTCCGCCGTAGAGATCCTCCCCATGTTCACCATGTTCAAGCTGCAGGAAAATAAGAACTTAACAACTTGCCCTGACTTTGCCAGCCAAGATCCAGTGCTGCAAATCTGGTACTACACCTGGGTACTGACTGTTCTAGGATATTTAGTGCCCTTGGCAGTGGTCAGCTTCTGCTACTCCAGGATTGTAAAAGTCCTGTCAAAGGGCCCAGAGACGCACAGTCTGCATCGGATGCGTGCCCGTAGGCTCACCGTGCTCATCCTGGTCGTCTTTGTGGTGTGCTTCATGCCATTCCACATCTTACGCACGGCACGGCTCGCCACCAGAATATGGCCGAGGTCCTGTACCGTCACAGACTGGGTCCACGCCATGTATATCATCTCTCGGCCTGTGGCGGGTCTCAACACCTTCTTCAACCTGGCGTTATACACGCTGGCAGGTGACAAGTTTCAGCAAGCTTTTGTCAGCATGTTCAACTGCAACTACTGTGTTTCTAAGATTAAGTCCCTACTTGCCGTGCCGGCCATCAGCAGTGTGACCGCCACCTCTCCGCAAATGAAACCGGCTGATACGAGTAAAACACCTTCATCGTCCAAACCACACACCGGACAGCAGAATGGTTAGAATCACTGCTGATCCTACACACCCTTCTTTATTGCCCATGCTGCTAATGCACAATTTTAATGTTATACTTAATCTGCACCTTAAAAATTGTGATAAAATTTACAACATAATTCAGATAAAGGATGATCTATGTAAATACTTTGCGTATAAAATGTATGTAAATATGACTAATCATTGATGAGATATATGTTAGTCTGAAGTCTATTAAAACTGAATAAGTTTTCATTTTGTTATGTACTGTATTGTATGCCAGAAGGAATTCGTTTTGATGGTACTATAGTCTGACAGCAGAATTTGTCAGACTCTCTACTGGGGAATGTCCAACTTTTAAAATTACTTTAATCTTCTTGGAAATGGGTGTGTATTTACCATCTTCCACACTCACAGTCCCGGGGGTATGTACAGTTGTAATTGAACACATGATAAATAGTTTACTGACCATACCCTGTAAGACTTCTTCCTCCTTTAAGTGAAGGAATATGGAGATCATAAAATGTGAAAACCACAGAAGTTCATAAATAGTTATTTTGGCCGGTATAAGCTACTTTTTGGTGATATCAAATAAAAAGGACTGATTGATATTGTAGGGTTAGATTGAATCCTCTAAATGCTCTTCCCATGGGGTGGTCATTATCTGGCAGTGCAGACACCCTCGTTTTCATCTAATATGATATCGTGTTTGGATTTTGCCTCTTATGTTTAGGTTTTCAGGGAGAACTTCAGTTTGGGGGGATGGGGGGTGCAGAAATGTGTGAGTGATTTTGGGCACAGAGTGGGGGAGTAGAGTTTTTGGACCCCATAAAAGCATATCATATTGGGCATGCGACCCACACCAATCCAATTATGATTGAAACTTTTTAGGTCCCCTGTTACTTATGTCCCCCCCCCCCCAGCTGAGAGTTCAGTTCATTGTCTGGTGCTGTTTTGAAAATTAAAAAGAAATTAATTTGCACTCCTGGGGAATAGCTAACTAAAATTAGCAACACTACTAACTCAACTACTTTTCTCAGTCACTTATCAATAGCGCAGCTTCTTTTAAAGCATTTTGTTTTTCCAGTAACTTTTTTTTTTTTTAAATAGCGATGTAGCATGGCAACAAACTACATCATAAAAAAAAATACTACAAGATGTTGTCGACTTACGACCAATGCAGCTTAGGAGTGATTGACTTTACAACCACACCCAGACTGCAGATTTATGGCCGCGACTGCGCCGTGACCTGCAGCAGGAGCATGAGTGTATGACAGTTTCCGCCCAGACTGCCAGCAGCACGAGCATTCCCGGCAGATGCCCATTCATTCATCTTGTGCTCAGGCTACTGTTTGCTACACTCATAGCACAGTATGTATTTGTATCCGTTTGTCTGTTGGCAATTTAAATGGTGATAAAAAGGTTATAACAATAATGAACTAAGAAAATGGTAATAAAAAGGTTAAAAACACCAAAAAATATTACTTAAAGATGATATTTTATTATACAGTGTACTATACATATGATAATTTTTGCATATAAAATAAAGGGCCAATTACAACCGGTCAGTCAGAAGCGATCGTGGTAAGTTGACGGCAACCTGAATTATTTTTCCCTTTTTACATGGGCAGGTATTTTCAACTACCAGTTGTTTCTGATTGGTGTCTTATGCTTTAATACTCTGGTGATGGATGTTAAATGGTTGATAATTCACAGCAAACAATATTTTAGACACTTTCATTGAAATGCATAGGAGCGCTTAGGTTCAGATTATTAAAACATTTTTTTTTTTTGTAACCCTTCTAATTTTCATAAAGCTCTTAAGTACTATTGGTTTACAACAAATAAAGACTTTTTAAAAAACTTTATTGTAATTTTGTTATGATCAGCCCCTGTTGTCCCACACTGTGTCCCTTCCCTGTTTGGCCAGCAGGTGTTGCTGGTCATCCCGTCCTTCGTGTTAGTCTTTGTTCTCCCCTGTTACCTGTTTGACCTGTGATCCTTGTTCGAATCCTGCCTCCTCTGTTTTTGTATTTTGCTCCCTAGTGTTTCATTTGAGTTTTTCTAGTTCTTGTATCTGGTGATTTTGTATTTGGTTTTTGGTTTTGTTCCTTGTGCCCCTGCTTGTGTCTTTACCTGTCTGTAATTCCCCAGTGTTAGTTTCTGTTTCCTTGGTTAGTTCTTAGTTTCCCTGTTTTTAGTTCCTTTGAGTTTATTAGTTTCACCTGTGCCCCGTTTCCCTGGTCTTTGTTAATTAGCCTCACCTGTCCTGTGTTAGTCTCGTTACCCCTTAGTATTTTAGTCCTTGCTTCTGTTCAGTTACCCAGTGGTTCATTGTTTGATGGTAGATGTTTGATGATTGTGACGATTCAGTTGTGTGTGCTTGATTATTATTCCCGGTGTTAGATGTTACCTGCCCTGTTTTTCTAGTTAGTCTTTGTTTTGTTAGTCTTTTCTTGTGTTTTAGTTCAGTTAATAAAACCCTGTTTGGTGTTTTTTAAGCTGCAAGTGGGTCGTCCACCTTTTCTGCCTGCACCATGCCACGTTCTCGTTCCAGAACCGTCTGGATCCCTGACAAATTTGACATTGCATTTTTAAAAGTACAGATTTTCATATTACTTTTAATGTCATGTTTCACATGTTTTTAATTAATTTGCTTTAAGAGTATCCTACAGTCCAATATGAAGTATTACCGGGTGAAATAGCTGTGGTGTAGTTAGCTACTTTTTCTCTGTAGCTTGTAGTGTAGTTAACTAATATGTTAAACCAGTAACCTGCCTTTTAGCTATTTTTAACCATAATTAGCTTGTAGCTTGAAAAACTTCCGTTTAAAACTAGCTTCCACAGCACTGTTTACATGCATTGTAACCCTATTCCATTGTAACCCAGTAAAACTGATGCAAATATCTATTATTATCAATAAAAATCCATGTGGAATTTTATTAACAATGGTGGATACATGCATGAATTTTTCATGACGGGGCACAATTGATGACAGTCCACTATACAGCTTACAAACAGAGAATTTTAATTTGAAGACCAAAACACATAGAAGCCAAAACAGACCATGAGGATTCTAAGGTCTGGTAAGTAACACAAGAACTAAGTCTAGAAACAAGCATGAGAGAATTCCAAGTACTCACGGAATTTCAGAGCAGGGTTTACATAGGAACCATCTAACAGCAAACAGTGTTGGCCAAACAAGAAACACACATTGACAATGGGAGAATACCAAGACAAGGCTGGTACTAAGCACACTAGGCAAGAGCAGCAACGTGTGCTGGTGAACAGGGGAGAGCAAGGAACTTAGGGAAATGAGGGACAGATTCAGAGAAGGCAGGGACCAATCCTGACAGAATTCCAGATCTTATACCCTTGATTACCAATATAAATTGTTAATTTTTGTATTTGCTCTTACTGTAATGTCTATTTTTTCTTTTTCAGTCATTGGTTGCTGCCATCATAGTGGATCGCAAAATCACTTTAACATGCATAATTAAAATCAGCAATATATTGTTTGATTGGCGTTGCTAAATTGCCCTTAGGTGTGCATGTGTGCGTGAATGGTGTGCGAGTGTGCCCTGCGATGGGCTGGCCCCCCATCCAGGGTTGTTCCCTGCCTCGTGCCCATTGCTTCCGGGATAGGCTCCGGACCCCCCGCGACCTAGTAGGATAAGCGGGTTGGACAATGTATGGATGGATGGAATATATTGTTTGAGATTGGGCTGGCAGACTAAGGCAAAGCATTACTGCATTCACAATCTTCATAAATAATGACACCATTGCAGTATTGAACCAAGATACACTACCAGTCAAAAGTTTTTGCACAACACAGGTTTTTACCACTTTTCCATTTTTTCATAAACTGCAGATTTTTAATTCCTGTTAAGCATTGTAAAGTTGAGTGAAGTATAAATGAAAATACAGAAAATGTCCTCTATAATATGGAAAGACAATATAACAGTGCATGTCTGACATATTTTGGTGTTTCCAGATTATTGCATGAGAACGCAACAAAAATTCCAGGTTCTTGTTCCTGAAAAAAAATTCCTGGGTGTAAAAGTCAGGAGGCGCTTTCACACCACCAGTACTTTTTTCAGGAACCAGAACTTTTTTCCAGAACCAGGGCATGAGTAAAATACACGGTAGGTCTAGTCTCCACCCACTTGTAGTCTGAAAAAGTATGTAATTGTAAAATGGAAATTGTGTAGGAACCCTGTGGAGCTAATATGTCTCAGACAGATAAATTATGAATAAGAATGTTAAACAAGGTATAAAAATAGAAGCAAGCTTTTTCTCTGTCCAAGTTCATTATGGTTAATTGTAGAGAAATATACGAGTTGCTCAGAACATAATGAGTCATGTTTTGGTGTCACCTGCTCGGCAAAGGGGAACTTTTAGCTCAGTTGTAGTACATTTATCCTAGATGTTCTATCCAGATCTGACACATTTATTAACTTGGTAATTCAATGCAGTCATTCAGCTTAATTACCTCATGCAAAGTAACAACAGCTAGGTCCCTCTTTTGGAGTTACTGGCTCATTTGGGCTACACAATCACAAACCAGATAAAACACCATTAAAGCTTTAGCAAAAAGATATCCCAAGAGGGGCTTATAGCTGTCAAACTGACTCTTTCTGTGGTTTTGTGCAGAAATTGATGGTCATGTAAGAATTATAGCAGGAAGACTTTTTTCATAGTGTTGCCATCTCATTACAGATAAAAAAGAATGTATTAGTAAAGTATGATTCTTGGCCCTCATTCAAATATCCTGGAGACTGGAGGTCGCGGTTAAGCTTTGGAATTTATGCTAGAGTTAATGTTCCCTCCTGAGAATGAAGTCTGATAGTCACTCAAATTACGTTCTCTGCAACCTTATACCTAGTACCCTGAAAAATCTTGTAATTAAACTTAAACTATATTAATTATATGTTCTAATTATCTAAATAGTTTAATGGAATGGTGGAAGTGTTTCAAGGTTCTGCATCCCAGAAAAGATGTGATGCTTTATTTGTCATTTCCATAAGTACAGGTACATTGGAATGCTTCTTTTTGCATATCTTCCTTCTGTTTATGTACTAGTGTTTGGTCCTTTCCTTTAGTCTCTTTGTCCTTGGAAAATCTTGTCTGCACCTAGTATCTACATCATGTGCTCT